GTAGTGAGATATTGTTTTCGATGCATTTGATATTTTTTCGCAAAGTTCCGCACAATTCGATGCCCACTTTCGAAGCTCGAAGCCACCTTCTTTCAGGATTTCGGAGACATTTTGCTGTAAAAGTAGCAGCTCTTCTTTGGACGATGTACCAGTGATGAGATCGTCCATGTAAAAGTCTTTGTGGATGACAGCAGAAGCTTTCTCACAAATGTGCGAATATTTTGCGGTTTGTTGTAGCGATCTCACAGCTAGATGAGACGCGGCTGCCACGCCGTAAGTTACGCGCAGCATACGATAGTCTTGTATGGGTAAACTCGGATCTCGACGCCATACAATTCGCTGTAGATCAATGTGCTTCGGTGCTACACATATTTGGCGGTACATTTTCGCAACGTCCGCGGTCACTGCATAGCGATGCGTTCTAAAACGCGTTAAAATTTAAAATAAGTCCTGCTGCAGTTGAGGACCGACAAATAATGCGTCGTTCAGCGAATTTCCGGTGGCAGTTTTAGCCGACGCGTTGAAAACGACCCTCAGCTTAGTGGTAACGCTCGAATCCTTTACAACAGGGTGATGCGGCATGTAAAACATTTGACTCGTTGATTCTGGTGCGAGCTCCATATGATTCATGTCGAGAAGTTCCTGCATGAACTCATTGTAGCGTAGCCGCAGGTCGTCGTCCCGAGCAAGGCGTCTCTCGATGCGTAGTAGGCTTTGGACAGCATAACTTCGCGAATCGCCCAGAAGTACGTCGGTCTTCAGCGGCAGTTCAACTACAAAGCGACCGTCAGGTGCTCTTTGGTGCGTTGTTTCGAAGAGTTCTTCGCAGTGACGCTCTTCGTATGTGAGGTGGGTCTTTTGCGGAGCTTCTTCTAACTCCCACAGTCTAGTAAGAGATCTATCTAACTGGACTTCGCAGTGCAGCGACTGTAGGCGAGGTGCAGCAGGTGCTATTCCGTCGACGCTTCCAAATAGCGTCCAACCAAAGACAGTGCGCTGAGTCATCGGCGTACCAGGTGGACCCTTACGGACTTCTGAGCAAAGGAGCTGTTGCATGACGTCCATACCAACCAGAATGTCGATACGCCCGGGTTTCATGAACTGCGGATCGGCTAAGAATAA